TCACATTGTTGCGATGGAACACAACTCCTTTACAATTAACAAGCTCTGGACATTTCTGCATGATGGATTCATTCAAACTGTCCAATTGCCAACAGTACACATTTGAATTGATTGTTTGGTTCCTTGGTAGGAGCTCGAAAAACATGACACCTTTAAAATCCCACCACACTGAGAGCATTACCTTCCTCTGATGAATGTCTGCTTTCGATGTAATTTGTGGTGAATCATCACGTCGGGACCAAGACCGTTTGCACACCACATTGTTGTAAACAATCCACTTCTCATCAGCAGTTATCAGTCGCTTCAAAAAAGGATCGTTTTCCTCACATTTAATGAGCCTATTGCAGATGTTTATACGCACCGTCAAATGAACTTCTTGGAGTTCATGCAGAACACAAATATCGAGCTTGCTTACGTGTGCCAGCTTCTTCAGGCGGTCCTGAATGCTTGAATGATGGATGTTCAATGTTTCTGCAATCTCTCGTGTCGTGTAACATGGGTTTGACTCAACCAATGCCTTTATTTTGTCGTTATCAACCTCAGTAGGCCTCCCTGATCGAGGAGCATCATTGAGATAAAAATCACCAGTACGGAATTTTGTGAGCCATCATTGGCACTGACGTTCTTATAGGGCATTGTCTCCATAAACTTTATGCAACTTTTCACAAACTTGATGTGCATTCTTCCCTTTATGGAAGTAAAACAGTAAAATATGGCAAAAATGCACAATTTAGTCTTCCATCTTCAACTTGTTGTAAAATCTCCAAAACTCAACCAAATCGCTCACTTTTTTTAGAATGAAGCTAGAACTGTCAGCTGTCAAATGACATAGCAATAACATAGATGCGAATAACTCTAGTACTGGTTCCAAAAATGAACTAGCACCATCTGTTGCAAATATGCATCATGACTTTTCCGATAACCCAATAGAACACCAAAAAACATAAAAAATAAAATGAGGAGCCCCCTATAATCCTACCACCTAAACATGATTACTGACTGGTAACATTTTGGCCAATATCCTTCTAGATTTTTTCTATATAGTTATATACACACATTAATACTAGAATAAAGCAATATGTATTATTTATAGACAAATTTTCCATTCATGAGCTATAATATTCCATAATGAGCTATAGATTATTCCATAATAATTTCCATAATGAGCTATAGCATTATTTTACAGAACTTTAATATTTCTATCATATGGATGTACCATAATATAAAAATACTCATCTCCATTTTTATTTTTTCCATTGCTAAGGTAAACATTGTTGTACCTACATTTTTGAGCATTTATCCTATTAGTTCTACTGAATAAATCCATTGAAGTGGAATATGGGGAGAAAAGGAGATGCACAATTTTAAAGTTCTGGATGAGCAAGGTTAAAGAATTCCCTCCAAAAGATTGAAATTGTGTTTTCTCACCAGCAGTATATATGGACACATTGATGATATTAAGTCTCTCTACCAAAGATTAAGGTGATATCTCTGAATTTACTACCGTCTAATTTTGGGTCTCTTAGAAAAGTTTGAGTTTTCTTTATATGGGTCTTGAAACTCACATTTGCAGCTATAGACCACATTACTTTCTTCTAAGTCTTATTCAGATAAAAACCAGTCATCTTTACTATATTAACTAAATTAATTAATGTCTATTTGCTTTTCTATGTGGCTATGAGAGTGTGGGGAGAAGAGTTTCTTCTATTCAAGGAGTCTCCGAGAACAGCAAAAGCCCCTGTAGCATCATATATCCTGTGGAAGTCAGACTCCAGCTGGATAACCAGGAGATTACTTTCGGTGGAAAATCAGCAGATAATAACTTCAGAAGCTCAGAGAAGCTGAGGTTCCCAACTGCAGGAATGCTATAGTGGTTCTTTTTCAAGCTGTGAACTTTTCTCAGCTTTTCTATTCTCTGCTGCCAAGCTCTACTAAGTCATAAGTGCAGATTTGTGTGGTGATTGACTGATTGTGTGAGTGTGTGTGTGTGTGTGTGTGTGTGTGTGTGTGTGTAAAGATGCATTTCTTCCTAGGAGTGAAAAAAAAAATCAAGTCTGACAAAATGTTTAAAAATCTTTATTGTTTAATACTTTTTAATGAGGTAATTTCTTAATTCCTCTGCCCAAAGATGTTAATTTTTTGAAAACAATGTGATTATTATGGTAACTAGTTATTATTTTTGAAAAATTTGCTGTTCAGCTCAAAATACTGTGCAAGTTTCTGCCCACCACACCCTATACATAAACTAAAAATGTAATTGGAGAGGTGAAGGAAACCTGTACCTCTACTCCTTCCATACTTTATAAATTTCTCACATTTTTAATCACATATTTAAGATATTTGTGACTGCTAGCTAGGTATAAGGCACTGTGATAGACTTTCACACGTTATATGTGGTAGGCTGAGTAATGGCCCCCCAAAAATATCCACATCCTCATTCCCAAAACCCATGAACATGTTAACCTACAGAGCAAAAAAAAAAAGACTTTGCAGATGTGATTACATTAATGGGGAGGTTACCCTGGATTATGCAGGTGGATTCAGTGTAATCACAGTGGTCCTTATAAGAGGAAGGCAAGAGGGTCAGAGAGGAGATGTAAGGGTGGAAACGGGCAGGTGAGACGTGGGGGGGGGAGAGAGAGAGAGAGAGAGAGAGAGAGAGAGAGAGAGAGAGACGATAAACAGTTGGTCCTGAAGACGAAGATGAGCCATGAGCCAAGGAAGGCAGCAGCCTCTAGAAGCTGGAAAGACAGGGAAACAGCTTCTTCCCTAGAGCCCCTGCAGGGACAGTCCTTCCAACACATTGATTTTATTTATTTATTTATTTTAAGCTGAGCCATCCTGCCACCTGTTGGCGGCTCAGCGGCAGCTCAGCTCGGGCCGGACTCGAACTGCTGTTGCTCAGAGCTCACACTGTTGAGCGAGCTCTTAACCAACTGAGCCACTGGGCCGGCCCCCAACACATTGATTTTAGATATTCTGATCTCCATAGCTGAGACATAGTAAACCTGTGTTGTTTTAAACCACTAAATTTGTGGTAATTTGTTATAGCAGCAGTAGGAAATGAATACGGTATGTGCTATGGGTTAAATATTGTGTTCCTCCCTCCCACCCATCTAACTCATATGTTGAGTCCCTCACCCCAGTTCCTCAGAATGTGACTGTACTTGAAGACAGGATCTTTAAAGAGATGATTAAGTTAAAATGAGGTCATTAGGGTGGGCTATAATCTGATATGACTGGTAACCTCATAAGAAGAGGACAGTAGGACACAGACACGTGAGGACACAGCAAGAGACAACCATCCAAAGAGATGAGAAAAGAGGCCTCAGAAGAAACCAACCCTGCCAACACCGTGAACTTGGACTTTCAGCCTCCAGGACTGGGAGAAATACATTTCTGTTGTTCAGGCCACCCAGTGTATCATTATTACGGCAGCCCTAGCAAACTAATACAGTTTGTCATGTAATGGTCACCACCATGGTTTAAAGATGAGGACACTGAGCCTCAGAAAGAACAAGTAACTTGCCAAGGGTTCACCGAGTTTGGAGGAGGCTCTTGAATTAGGCCCAAGTTGGCTGCCTCCACACCACTGTTCTTGCTCCCATACCAACCGTCCATTCTCACGTTTGTTCATTCAGAAAGTAGTCACTGAATGCCAACTCCAAGGCACTCAGGATACATCGGTGTACAAAGCAGACCTTTGCCCAGGTGCTGCTCATATTCTGGGGGTGGGAGGTATTATAGAAAGAGGAGAGGGCCATAAGCAATAAACATCACAAATAAGTAAACGGTATAACTCTCTATGATATGGACCTAGCTGCAAGAATCCAGTGTGTGTGAGGCATGGCATTGTATGTGGCACAGGTGGGCACCTCACAAAGGGAAGCTATTAGCTATTATGCAGGTCATTCCATCATCACACTCACTGGGCTATCTTTGCCGATATGACCGCTCCTTGCAAACATCCCCAAATGCCAACTTTTGACAGAAATTCCTCACTGTAGTCTTTGGAACTAGGAGGTGAACAGCTGTCGGTGGCACTGGTGAGCGGGCTGCCCAACTCTTTCCATGTATGTAGCACATCTTGTTTTCTGAATATGTCATCAAGAGCTTGACACCAACATTTAAAAGCAGCCCTAAAACAGAAACAAAGCATCAAGCAGTACATTTTCTGAGACCTATGTCATTAAATGTTTCCAAAAGGGAAAGCAAATATACTGAAGAAACATTTTAATCAAAATCTATACCATTTATGCATTGCTCATAACCATTTCTCTCAGGTAGCATTTGATGAATAAAATGTAGCAATATTATTGAAGAGCTAAAATTTATGAAAGACAATTTTTTTCACCATAATTTAAAAAATTTCTTCAGACAAAAACTTTTCCTTCATTCTATAGACTCTTAAAAATCTACCTTTTCTTTTCTGCGAAGACAAGAAGACTTCCAAGTTCATGCAATGCTTGAACTTTAAGACTTCTTTGATTGCTGGCTTGGAGAACATCTGTATTTTAATCAAGTAAAAGAACAAATATCAGTTTTTGGAAAATATTTCCTTTATATTTGCAAAAATATTTGAAAGTGCATTATTTCTTAACTGTGTACATAAGCAAACGGCAAGCTAGCAGTACCTTCAAATGTCACATATTTTCTATTTGAATATAGTGGAATGAGAGATTGGGTCTAACAGGTAGGAAACATGGAGAAAGTGAAATATTAGTAAAAGTCAGGCAGGTAGAAATGGTTGAGAAGAGAAATGCAGAAATGGTGTGCAAGGGAGAAAGAGCTGGGTACATATGAAAATGACATGTGTAGATGGAGAATGGTTGTCCTGGGAAGGTGATGAAGGAGGTGGTGGTAAAATTACAGAGGCATCTGAATGCCTCATGAAAAAATGTGGACATTATCCTATAGCACATGGGAAGCCTTTAAGGATTGGTTTTTGAGCAGGGATGTGACAAGATCACAGCCTATCAGCTTCTTCCTTTTACCCAAATGCAAAAAAAAAAAAAAAAGGCATATCTTTAATATTACCTCAATTTTTTTTTTTTGGTAGAAGGGGTTCTGATAAATGCATGCATTCAAGGGGATGTGGCCAAAAATCCCAACCAACATGGCAGTGGTTTCTAATGAGGGCAATACTGTCCCCAGAGGGTATTTTACAAATCTGAGGAAAGGTTTTGTTAGTTGCCACAATGGGGCATCTCCTGGTATTTCGTGGGTAAAGACCAGAGAAACTGGATGGCCTATAATGCACGGAACCTTGCACCACAGTGAAGAAAAAGGTGAAAAACCTGATTATAATGATCTAATATCTAAGTTCATTTTGTACATAAAAAGGACATATGTATGTGCTTTCAAAATGCTCTGAATTTTCCAGACATGCAACCACTAACTGTATTCTCTGTTCTGTTCAGATCTTTACCTAGATTTATTTGCCATTTTAGAAAATCATGTCACCAGAATTAACAGTGCTTGTACAACGTGCCGCCAGTATAAATATACTGGAGCCACTCTGCATTTGCAGCTGTCACATTCATGGTGACCCTACATGTAAGATATGAGCATTGGACTGCTTCACTGTGCCTTCTACTGCTTGAGTACTTACATACAAACAACAGATTCTTTTATCATAAAGTGATTTTGTTTTACTTATCCTTTATTTTATATTTAGAGCATTATATTGATTTGGGGAAAAGAAAGCATGTAGGAAGAATATAGTAAATATAAATTTTATTCCAGGGAGTTAAGGGGAAATTACAAAATGTCTGTTATAAAAATGGAGGACGTTGGGTCTACAACACGGGTTGAATATATACTGCTGGGTTTGTAAAAGCCGAATCAAGAGGAAAGGCAAGGAAAATGCAATCAGCTGGGGCAGAGCAAAAGAACTTGACAGTGGCCACATGCCGACAAGCAGTTCACAGAGCCAGTAAAAGGGGGATGGACAGAAGGGTGGCCTCAAATCTCACAATGGTGACAGCCAGGGTGGGAAAGTGAGTGACAGGAGATGCTGGAAGCATCTTGTCTTGACACTGCCATGTCACTGCTGCAAGAGTCCGATGAAACAGTCTCTGTTCAAGCTCTTTCATGACAAAAACATTTCCAGACCAAATGTACGCTCAACATTAATGCAGACGATCATATTGAAAATGAATCCATAATGAGAAATCTTACCAATAGTTTCATAATAAGAAGAAATTACAAGTCCAAGCTGTGAAGAGGGTAGTTTGCTTTTCTCCACGGAACTGAAAACTCTGAAGTGCTCCTGAGAAAGATCAGGCGGTGTGGGCATATGCATCTCTTCTGTCCCCAGGCAAAATTCTACCTTCCCGGGAGTAAATTTTGAATTGTTCATTCCTCCTTTGTTTCCTAAATTCATGAAAAAAAAAACCAAAATGAAAAGGAAATTTAGAATAGAAAAAGAAAGGAAGTTGATTGGGAGGAAAGGGTAGAAGACATGGAGAGGCACCAGAAAGGAAAGGTTTTGTACAGAGCTGAGGCTTATTTGCAGTTTCTTTGCATTGTTTCCTTCAACTTAGAATCATTTCTGAAGAGTCCAAGTGCGTATGGATGGGCTCTATACTCAAGTTGTTAAATAAAGAACACTATAGAGGAGCAGTTTGCCAGAATGTAAATGTTTCGATCATGCTTTGCTTCTCGCTGGGATTGGTGGACGTTACATTGTTTGGGTTTACCCTTTTTTAAGAGCTTTCACCTGTAAGATGCTAGTTTGCCTCCAGAGCAGAGACCTCTGTGATAGAACATATAGGTAGTTCTGTCATGAGCAGGGGAAATGGGAAACAGCTGTCTCTTTCATATAAGATCAGAGAACACACATGAAAACACAAAAGAGGAAAAATATTCTAGGGAAAGTAGTCAAAGACTGTGAGAGACAGAAGCAATTGTGGCTTTTGAAGTCTAGAGCCCTAAGACTGAGGTTAAACTGCTAAGAATATTTTCGTGTATGTTATATGCCTTTGAGTTGGCTCGGACTCTGACGACCCTAAGAATGAGTAACGCTCACAATGTCCTGTCCTCAACAGCCCTGCTCAGCTAATGCCTGTGGCTTCTTTTATGGACTCCATCCATCTCACAGTTGGTCTTCCTCATTTCCTGCTACCTTCTATTTTCTCAGAATTATGTCTTTTCCAAAGGACCCTGCCATCTCATGATGTGCCTGAAGTAGGGCAGCTTCAGTGTTGTCATGTTTGCCTCCAGCGGTGTTTCAGGCTTAATTTACTCTAGGACCCACTTGTCTTTCTGGCAGCCCAGGATATTCATAGAGCTCTCCTCCAACACCGTATTTCAAATGAATATTTAATTCATATTTCAATATTTCAAATGAATATTTTGGTACCAGGTGAGATTCAGAGTGAATTGGTGTAAACCATTCTTAGGAATTTTATCTTCTTTTTTAAATTCATGCCCTTAACCATCATTAATGTATGCTGTAATTGAAAAAAGTTCAAACATGATATGGAGAGCTAATTTAACATAATGTGAGTCAGTGGACAATACAATGAAAAACTGTGGGGACATATCATACCAATTGCTTTTTGCAGGGGGCAGCAACAACAAATACATACATACATACACACATACATACATACATACACACATTCATACATATGTATATACATATATACATATATACACACATACATAAATAAAACTTTGGTTAGTGATTGTAAAAAAAAAATGCTCAGATTTCCAAAAGATCAGTTCAGTGGATATTAGCATCTTAATTAGATATGATTAAATCTACTTTTAATAACTTTAAGGTATAATTATTTTAAGTTTATTAATTTAAGTTTATTCTTTAAGCCTATTTTGACTATTTTGATAAATTTGAACAGCAAGAATCATAAACATAAATTAAGAAATAAAATATTTTTGAATAACCTAAATATAGATAAATTTGAGTATATTCTTCTTTGAGGTTACCACTCAAAGTCATGCTTTGATTGAGTTCACAAATCTATAGATGTTGAAAAAGAAGAAAACAAATAAATGTAATGTAACCAATGATAGTATCTTGTTTTAAGTTTTAAAAAAAATCTCTTAAGATCAAAACTTATGGTATTAATAAAAAATTTTATTGATGCATATGTTAAAATGCATCCATTTCTTTGACACTGATAAAGTGTTTTAGTAAAAGTTCTAGTTAATTCAGTATCAATCAATTCATCTACTTATGAAAATCAAACAAGACTATGGCACCATACTGGCAAAGAAAACGATAAGAACACAGACATACAGAATAAAAAAATTAACAAATACTGTTTGCTTATCGACTCTATATAATGGAGTATTGCAGTTTTACAGAAAGCATTAAAAGCAGACAAGTGAGTGCCTTGGTGGGAATGAAGTGTGGTAGAGAGAAGATGTGATCCACTAGGCGAAAAGGAGAAAGTGAAAGGCAGCAGCGAGAGGGCATGTAAGTGGGGTTGGGGCACCTAGGGCAGAATACAGTAGATCCGCAGGGTGGTCTCCCCACATAAATAAAGAGTACCTGATATAAAGCAAGCCTGTTACCTTGTGTCTGGGCGAGAAATAATGAAAGCAACTTTCTGCTGTGTCGGATTGATCTGTTATGATATTTGGATTTTTCCAAGGTCTCTCTAAAGTATCTCAAAGCATCTGTCACATCCACGGGCACACAGACGAGCTCTTTGGCTTGGCTGTATTCTGAAAGGAAAGGGAAGGGTAACACTGGGGATGAAATGCTGCAGCAAGCCAACTAGTAGCAAAAGGCTCTAATTCCGAGAATTCTTGGTGCCAAACTAAAGCTGCTAAATTCAAAGCCCCAAGTCTGTAGCAGGTGTTTCAACATTCAGATCAAATTTTTTTTTGGTATATTTGAAAGTTCTTTAAAAAAAAAAGAAAAAGAATGAAAGAAAAAACTTAGAAAACTTTTGATTCTTATGAAATGCAAAATACTTTAGATCTTGCCAATTTTCCTTATGAAGCCTCCTACTTTTTCCCTTTTTTTTTTGCTGATCATAAAAGACGAAATAATCTACTCCTTTTCAGCAGCCTCTTCAAAGTAAGGGTGCCTTGGGAAAGAGACGAAAGGAGGAAACAAAAAAGCTTGGAGGTGGCCAACTGCTCTCTTAAGATAAAGAAAAGCCAGTTTTCTAATATTGGATGATGCAGAGGAGGAAGATGGGGCCATAAATGGGTATGAAACTAACAAACAGTCCTTAAAAAAATGGCCAGGAAGGGGAGACAGTGGCAGAGAGTTGCCACGAAGTCTCCAGAGAGGAAATAGCCACCCAGGAATTAGGCTGCAGATCTGCAACATACACCGGGAAGCAGGCATACGAGAAGAAAGAATTACAGACTTCAGGTGACTAGCAAAGGAATTCACCTCTTCAACAAGCTGAACAGGTACAATACCCCCTATAAAACCTCAGGTCTGGATAGTACAGCAACTCGCTAGGGAACGGAGCTAGAAGATGTTATGAGGCAAGGCCTGCGCCCTTGAGAGTTCATAGTCTAGCTAAACAAATGAAGCATGCCATCGCTGGGGCATTAACATCACGTGTACAGAGAGCGCGTGGTTATGCGCTAAAATGAGGGATAATAGAGAGAAATCAGAGCAGGGAGTAGAGCAGGAGCTAGAACAACCTCGTGAAGAGAAGAGATGCTGGCTGTGTCTCAGAGGACAGGGAAGATTTGGTTGGGATGAAGAGGCAAGGGGCTTTAGATAGACTAAGAATAGCTGAGTTGGCTGAGCACTTACACTATACCAGGAACTATTCAAGGTAATTTATGGATATAGTCGCATCAAACCCCAAGAACAACCATAAGAGGTATGTACCATTATATCCCCATTTTACAGATGAGGAAAAGAAGGCACGGAGAAGCCTGGTAGCCTCCCTTGGGTCACAGGACAAGTTTGTGCAAGGAGAGGCATGGCAGCAGGGTTAAGGGTGGCGCTTTAAGGCTCAGCGAGGTGACACGAGCAGTCCTGTTGAACAAAGAAGGGTTTGTCAGAGGCCTGAAGCCCTCGCTGAGGAAGCTGCCATCTTCCTCTTTAAAGGGGAGCTGAGCAAGGGTTTGGACCAGGACCTTGACAGAAAGATTGGTATTTTGGAAGAGTCAACCAGCAGTTGCATGCACAGCAGACTGCAACAGAGAGAAGATGGTGACTGAGTGACTGTGATGTTATTTGCATGATTTGATCTTGAGTAAAGTAATAGCCATGGAAACAAGGGAGGAACCCAGGGACCTTTCCAATGTTAGAAGTGACAGGAAAGTGGCTAATTGGCTATGTGGCAAAATATACCAAGGGCGTGGAAATTACCTCTTCCCCATCCTTTAAGGGCCAATGACCTTGCTTCCTACCTCACTGGAAACTTAAAGCAATCCAAAGGGATTTCTCCACAAGGCCCCAGCACTATACCCAGCCAGCCCCCAACACCGGTACCCATCTATACTCCTTAAGAGCATTGCTCCAGCAGTTCCCTCTCTCCAAAACACCAATTTTTCCCTCTGCTGAATCATTTCCAATAGCACATTTTGCTATTTTTCACCTATCTTTAAAGAAAAATTTAAATTTCATGTTCATTGCAACATTATTTACAATAGCCAAGACAAGGAAACAACCCAAGTATCCATTGATGAATGAATGGATAAAGCAAAAATAAAGCATATATATATATGAAAAATAAGGAAATCCAGAGAAGGGAATGGGTTCTTGCCATCTGCAGTGGCATGGATGGACCTGGGGGGTATTATGCTGAGTGCAGTACGTCAGACAGAGACAGGTGCAATGTGATTCCACTTACATGAGGAATCTAAAGAACAAAATAAACAACCGAAATAGAAATAAACTTATACAGAGAATATTCTGATGGTTGCCAGATGGGAGGCAGTTTGGGAGTGGGTGAAAAAGAAAGAATTAAGAAGTACAAATTGGTCGTTACACAGTAGTCATAGGGATATAGAGTATAGCATAAGGAATACAGTCAATAATATGGTAATATCTATGTAGTGCCAGGAGGGTAGCTTCTAAAATTATATAAATGTGTAAGCGCTAGGCTGTAAACTGAAATTAATATAAAATAATGCTGAATGTCAACTGCAATTGAAAAATTTTAAAAGTACAGGAAAAGGTGAAAGAGAATAAGAGACTCAAATTTCCAGGTATAAAACAAGTAAGTCATGGGGATGTACTGTACAGCATAGGGAATATAGTCAATAATATTGTGATAGCATGGTATGGTGTCAGAGGGTTGCTGGACTTATCATGGTGATCACTTCTTCAGGTATATAAATGCTGAGTAACTATCGTGTACACCTGAAACAAATATAATATTGTATGTTAGCTATATTTTAATAAAAATCTTTTGGAAAATAAACTGAACACATGATACACAGAATAGATTGGTGGTTGCCAGAGGTGGGGTAAGGAATCGGCAAAATGAACAAACGTCCAGTTATAAGATAAATAAATTCTGGGGCTACAATATACAGCATGGGGACTATATTGAAATTTCTGAAAAAAAATAGTTTTAAAAAATAAAAAACCTTTCTCAAAATTCCTCAAAATGTTCTGTATTCATTGCTTCCCATTCTCTCTTGAACCCACTGAAATCAGGCTTTCCCCTCATCACTCCACCCCAAGGGTCTTCTTGTGGCTAAATGTAGTGTTCCATTTTTAGACTTTATGTCACTTCAATTTTCAGCAGCATTTGACTCAGTTAATAACTCCCTCCTGCTTGAAATACTTCCTTCACTTGGCTTAGAGGTCCTTTTCCAACCTCACAGGCCATTCCTTCTTAGTTCTCTTTGCTAATTCATTCCCATCAACCCAACCTCTTAATATTGGGGAAACTCCAGCTCTATGCTTAGACTGCCTCTCCTTTCTTCCTAATTTATACTCCTCCCCTAGATAGCCTCATCTAGTCTCATGGCTTTAAATATCATCTATATGCTAGTGGCTCCCAATTTCTATCACTGGCCACAACTCTCCTAAAGTCCAGACTCATCTGTGTGCCCAACAGACATCTCAAAGTTAACAGGTCCCCAACTGATTCCCTAATCTTTCCCCCCTAAACCTGTTCCTCCCACAGTCTGTCCCCATCTCATTAAAGGATGGGTCCACTTTTCTGGTTGCTTAGGCCAAAGGCTAGACTCATCCTTAACTTCTCTTCTCCTCTCATGCTCCAGCTCAAATTCACAGCAAATCCTACAGGCTCCCCTTTCAGAAAACAGCCAGAGTGCCATCATCTCTCACCAGTTGCACCCTCCACTACCACTTCCACTGTGTTCCAAGACTTCATTATCTCCTTTTGAATTACTGTAATCGTCCTGATAACCAGTCTCCCTGTTTCCACCCTTGCCATTCTCAACACAGCAACCGAAGACTCATTTTTAACTGTAAGTCATCTCATGTCACTCCTCTGCCCAAGACCCTCCGTTGGCTCCCCCATCACCTAGAGCACACACCAAAGCCCAAAGAGCAACTTGTAAGGCCTGACATGAGCTGGCTCCCATGACCACTCTGAACTCTTTTCTCATTATTCTCCCCCTCACTCCCTCCCACACCAGGCATGCTTTCACATAGAGTCTTGGCACCAGTGGTTCACTTTGGCCTAGAACATTCTTCCCTCAGATACCTTCATGTATTGCTTCCTCAGCTCCTTAAGGTTATTGCTTAACTGTTAATTTCTCAGTGTGTGCCTCTTTGATCACCCGATATAAAATTGTAGCACTCTCCCTTCCCGACTTCTTTGTTCTCTGCAGCACTCATTATCTTAGGACATGCTATGTGCTTCACTTGCTTATTCATTTTCTCCCACCACTGGAATCCAAGATCAATGAGGGCAAGGATTTTTGTCCATTTTGTCCACTGCTATAACCCCAGGAGTGTAACAGTGCTTGTTACATGGTATGTGCTCAATAAATATTTATTAAGTGAATGAATGACAATAGTTTTCAAAATGAAATTGCTAGGATAAACTTTATTAACAATCACTTCTACAGGTTTTAATCTCAACTGATACTCACAACCCTGTACAAACTAGTAGGGTAGAAATCACTCACCCTTTTTAAGAAGGAAAAGTAAACTTGAGGGACATTCAGTTGTCTTAAGACCTTATAAGACAGAGAACCAGTGTTCAAATCCATTGCCTTTTCCAGGGAATTCTCCAAAGGGCATCAGATCTTGGGTAATAGGCAATGACCCAGATTTGAGGCACAGGGACACTTTGAGAATAGGACAGGAATAAGCCCAAGAAAGGTTAATGAGAGAAGAAGCCCAGGGTCCTGTGAGCCCAGGGAGGTTTTGAGGGAATTAGTAACTCAGGGTTACACTGTAAGGCCAAAGAGACAACATCTTCCAATATACCGTAATGTCTACAAACCCTGGAGGCTCTAGTCAAACCAGAAACATGGCTGCATTGAAAGAAGCATTTGTCCACCACCACCATCCCCACCCCACCCCAGGAAGTTCATTCTTTCCTATCACACATTTAAGAGAATCAAATACTTAGGCCACAGTAGCTCTTCTTAGCTCCCCGGTAGCTCTTATTCTTCTTCCCTACCAATTTCTTTCTCCTGCTCACTCCAGCCTGTCCCCGCCATCTTGCTCCTTCAATCGCCCTGTCCTCGAAGCATGCACAGTCCTGTATGAGCCTGACAAGGCGTGCCCTCCCACCACCGCCTTATGCACAACACCC